TGCTTCGATGCAGACTCTTTTTATCCATAGTGGTTCGATTTTAATTTAGCTTGGAAGTCTTCGGAGGGATAAAGCAACATAATAAGAACACTGATCTTATTAAAAAGCAACATAACAAAAACACCTTTCTTAATAAAGAACTTTAACTGCTCGAAAGGTTAAATATTTATGGCTTTTTGATTATCCGCAAAAAAAGCAAACAGCCGTCTGGGAGGTCCGCCAAAAAGTAATACTCAGTCACTGAGTGATGGCTATTACTCGAAGTATGTGGCTCAGGATCGAAAGACCTGCAGCTTCTGAATCAGGCTTATGGAACTATCCCATTAACTTCACTAATATCAGATTCTTCACCGAATGACCGAAAGACCTTAGCATTGACTGGTCCAAAATAAAGGAGCATATGCAGCTTCAAAAGCTTGCACACCGAATTTTCGACATTCCAGTCTTAACATCTTATTGTTTCCCCTTCATTTTATTCTCATTATATGTGATTGGAATTCTTGTTATTGTTATCACTACTATTATTATCTTTACTGTTACCATTATCATTGTTATTATTAATTTATAATAACGGAAATAGCCGTTATTATTAGTGGTATTATTATTTATATTATTATTATTAATAATGTGACATTTTTAAAAAAGTCCCCATGTTCTTTCCAGTTCATTGTAGCCAAATTACGCGAGCTGACATAACGGATATGGTGAGTGGTCGCCTGAAACACGAAAAGTCTGACATACTAGAAATAAGGGCCTCTCAGTGGCAATTTCATATTGATGACACAATTATTATATTTGTTAAATGTCAGGAGCGTTGACAAGTTAATACAGCGAAAATCCGAGATTCTTTTAAGCTTAATTTTCTGGATTTAATCTCAGTCTGCTAGTCAAGCCTTTCGAAATGCAAATGTGATCAAGTAATTTCAGCAGCGATGAATCTTCATGGTCTGACTGCGATCCGTCGTCATCGTCATCTCAGAATCCGCGTTCCTCGACTCCATTCGCATTTCGTTCCGATCGATACACATCGGATGTTAGCGAATCAGATTCCGATCCCGATCCAGAATTCGAAGCTCACAAACAGCTCCTGTAAGTTTTTGATTGGCTGAGGACTAATGAACGATATGGCTTTATTTATTAACAGTTTGTTCAATCAACAAGTTTCGTAGCAGTCAGGAGGCTGTACTGATGATTCCCAGCCGCTAGCCGCATCTGGTTACTATTTCTGTTCACAGCTAATGTATGAAAAACATGCAGATTCCACCGTACTTAAATCTTTTTTACATGACTTCACAACATGACACACGGTTTCATGCCACGTGTTCCTAGCTCTACAATCCTGAGCTCTTACGCATTTCCTCCTCCTCCTCCCCCTCCTCTCCTTACTCTCACATTTTAATCCGTTGCCGTAACAGTTTCTCGAACTTAATCCACATCAGCAAGACTAACGCATGCTCCAGATCGAGCCCCGTGACAATTTTTAGTATTGTTCGGTTGAGACTGTTTTCATGTTGTACTATTACGGGCTGGGTGTGTGGCGAATGGGCCAAATTTACACTCTTCAATTCACAACCGCTGACACTGTGTTTGTAACCTTTTCTATTGGCAGTCAGAGCTGCCAAAAATGCCTGAAAGAACCATATTGAAATCTATCGGTGCTGATTTTAGTGAAATGCAGTAAATATCTGGTTCGTTCAGTCAAGTGGCAAAGAAGACACCAAAAAACTTTTTTCCCCTTAGAATTTAATTGAATGGTACTATGAACAGCATTTTGGAAACAAAATAATCTGTAACTGAAAAATTCAGAAGACGGCAACGGTGGGAAGAATTGCGACCGAAATTTGAGATGCAGCAGAAATGGGATGATGATCGCGAGCGTAATTTTGTTTTTTCGCTGCTTTAAGTTGATAAGTTTGGCTACTCCGTGTTTGTGTACATGCTTTTTCCTGTAAATTGTGATTTTTCATTCCTATTACTCGCTTCTTTTTGCACATAGAATAAAGGGTTATTTTTGAGATTAATATTAAAAGAAAAATAAATTTATATAAAAAAGAAAAAATGTCGTGTGAGAAAGGATTTGCATAATTTAAAAAATAGAAATAAATAATATAAAATATAATTGAAAGTGGGACGTTTCGGTCTGTTGAGTCGTAAACATTCTATTTCAGCACCAAAGCTGGACCTCGTCAGCGCTACAGCTGTGATACTATTATGAATTATGCCATAGTGAAATAATAAACATTAAGTAGAGATATAAGTAAATAATGAATTTTGATTTCATCATACATGCTTTTTTGAGTAGATTATGGATTTTAGCTCTTTAATCTAGCACTTTGATTCCATTACATAAGCTTCTTGTAAATCATGTTCCTGATTCCTTTTAATATGAACTTTATTTCGGATCTTAAAGCCTTACTAAACTTTCAGGCTCAGAGAGTTTTTGAAACGACGAGTTTCTAGTCACAATTGTCGTGAGAATTAAAAAGATTTTTCAAACTGTGATTAATTTCTCATTAAAAGTGACAAATTTGCAGAGGGATTCGGTTCTGAATCATTCTGGAAAAGCGGCTGAGTACACAAAGCACAAAGCAGACCCTCAAATTTCAGGATTTGGCATTCGAAATATCCCGCATTTTTTTCTTTCTTTCCTCTCCCCTCTGTTCAAAGTCTTGTTTAGCG